TCTTCAGACTTCTGTCTCCCAGCATCCTGCTACTAAGAGTTACACTTTATAACCAAGTCTCCAGATCTGCACAGGAAACATAGGACTCAAAAAGACCTTCTGCTAAGAACCCGCCTTCCTGTCTCTAGAGTAATAAAATGGGTTTCAAGTTTTGGTTGTTCCACTACCCTCTCTGTCTTAAACGTGCATTCTAGAATTTCACTCCCAGGGTTGTTCTTATGAATCATGTCAGTTGTCACTTTGTTATTACCTTCAACATTTAATCTAAGTGATGTTTTAGCAGCTTGGTTTGATATGGCTTTTTTATTTTTGTTTTTGTTTTTGTTTTTGTTTTTACTTTTGTTTTTTTTTTCTTTCAAGTTCTTAGCTGAATTTAAAAGTCAAATTTTTTTCATGAAGACGTAAGTTAATGGAAGACAGAGGCAGAGATTAAATCAGGGGAATCACTGATTAGGTGCTTGGAATTCTTCTGAATACAAATAACCCATCAAGGTTAATGAGGTTCAACCCAAGTGTACAAAAAGGAGAAATACTCTTAGTGTTTTCCATACATTTACAGATTTAAGTTCTTGGGGAGGATTTGAAGCACAGATTACACAAACTCAAACATGGTTTACTTCCATTTGGATTTTCCTCCAGTACAAAACAATTGCTTCAAATACATATCATCAAATATTATCAATAACAAAAGGTAATGCAATAGTTAGACAAAGCAAAGATTTCCCCAGAAGTTGACAGTTCTTATAGAAACCGATGTGCTTTTAAGAAGTGGCTCTGAACACTTGCTGCATAAGTGTGACTTGAGGACCCAAGCTGAGATCCCCAGTGCCCTCGTAAAGAGCAGGAGGCAAGATTCAAGTGCCTGCTGGCCTCTAGTTCAATTCCTGGATCAATGACCCTTTCTCAAGGGAATAAAGTAGAAAGTGATAGAACAGGACATATGATGTCCTCTGCTAGCCTGGGTGTACACACACACACACACACACACACACACACACACACGTGCATCTCTCTCTATCTATCTCTCTCACACACACCACAGCAAGCAAACAAACAAAAACCCATCCAAGCAAGAAAGAAAGAAGCAAAGAAAAAAAGGTAGGAAGAAAGGAAGGGAGGGAGGGAGGGGCTGAACAACCAATGGTAGCTTTCAAAATTACTAAAAGATTTTTTTCTATAATTCCCTTCCCCAACAAATGTTAACTGAGCATATAATGCATAGTGTGGTAGGTAGCACAGGAAGAACAGAAAAGCAAACCTGATTTTTAACATGCACCCACACAGGAGCTCCTGGTATGCTACAGGTTTACATTATAACATCAGTGCATAGTGGTAAATAGCCTACAGCAAAATCTGTGCATAGCAGAATATCAAAACAAAAGGCCATGATCATCAGAGTGAAGGCACAGGAAAACAAGGTTAAAAAAGACAAGCAATGGGAGAAGAGACAGAAAATGTAGCTGAATTGAGGGGGACGGGAGGTCCTCTGGCAACAAGATGTCCTCTAATGGGAGGTGAACGAACAAGAGGCCTGGAACACACAGCCCTTCAGACATCACTATCTCTCACTCTGCCTTTGACTGGCAAGTATTTTGTTTTCAATTTTTAAAACCGAGATAGAAAAGTTAGAGACTGCTAATAGTTCTGTAAAATGCACTCAGGCTCCCACAGCGTAAGTGGATGGACCAGTGCCCTTGCACCTTGTTCTCTACTGAGCTACCTGCAGATGGCAGCCAGTCACCGGATCACTCTAAATGCAGGACACACTGGCCGATGACAAGACAATATTCTGATACGATGTCTTACAAGATCAAAACAACAAAGTCAACTCTGTCGTGGTGACAGGGCTCCTGGCTCAGTCCTGTTGCTCCTTTTCTACTTTATTGTGACCTACTTTGAAATTTTGAAGGAATATATCCTAATCATTGTACGACAATGAAAAGACTATGTGTGTGTGTGTGTGTGTGTGTGTACAAACACACACACACACACACACACACACATATATATATATGATGCAGACAAAAGACTTACCAGCTGGAGAGATTGTCTCTTATGCCTGAACACTCCCAAAAAGCTTAGAGAGGAGAAGGGATGGATAAGTTAGGATCTACTCAAAAAAGACACTGAACTAGGGAAAACTGAAACAAGGGCAAAATAAAGGATGTACATTTGGGAACTTTAAGGAAAAAAAATTGTTTCCTACCTAGACTTTATATGATATTCTATAGAACTATAGGAGAATCGTGGTTAAAGGAATGGGCATCAAAGATTAAACAAATCCTAAAACCATAACCACACAGACACATTCTTAGGCTTGGATAATTATCTCATTTTTGTACATCTTGCTTGTTTGTTTGTTTGTTTAATGTATTTGATATTTTTAAAGTAACTAAAAGAAATGTCTGGCTTAGAGGAGAAATGCTAGCTATGCAAGTATCAAGACCTTCGTTCAATCTCAAAACCCAATTAAAGACAGGTTTACATGGATTTTTTTACATGTTTGCAACCTAGCACTGGCAAGTAGAGAGGACAGGTGGCCCCCAAAAGATCACTGGCGAGCCTAGCTAAATCAGAGAGCTTCAAGAACAGTGAGAGGCCCATCTCAAAAATATAGTAGAAGGCAGCAAGATGACTCAGTAGCTTTGTAAAGAAGCTAGCCACCAAGCCTAGAAATTTGAGTCCACCCTGAGACCACATGGTAGAAACAACTGATTCTTCCAAGTTGTCCTCTGACCTCCATATACTTTGTGGTATGTGCATTTGTAGATACACACACAATAAATAAATGCAGAAGTAAATGTTTTTGGTTTTTTATTATGTTCTTAAATGAAATAGAATTATAGCACGTTCCCTCCTCCCTTTGCTTCCTCGAGCCCCTCCCATGCCCTCACTCAAACCTATTCCGTTCCCCTACTCTCAAGTTGGTAGCCTGTTCTTCTATTGTTTTACACACACACACACACACACATACACACACAGACAACACACACCAGCAACTAAAGGAGGTCAATTGCCATTTGGTTATAAAGTACATAAGGCATCAAGAGCCCGCCCAACAGTCCCAAATTATCCAACATTTTGTAAAAGTGCAGGAGAAACTAAATGACATTTGACTGCACTTTAGCAGTAGTCTCAGTTGTCAGCAGCTCCAACTCGGTGATCTCCGACCTTTATTTCTCACAGAGCCCATACTAGATATCACTCTGAGAACAGAGCACAAGGTATGAAAACCAAACACGGCATAATCACAAGTATTGTTAAATCCAATCAACTGAGAAAAATTTAAGTCATTTTACTGTCAAAGGTTAAGAACGTCTTGTAATCACAGCTCTTGAATGGCTACAGCAGGAGTGTGGGGCCAGCCTGGGCTATGGAGTGAATCTAAGGCCACTCCAGTCTACAAAGACAGACCATGTCTCCAAAATATGGTGGTGGAGGATGACAGAGAAGCCGGGAGCTGAAAAGTAAAACTATTTTCCTGGAGATGAACAGGGTTTTGTTAAAGGGTTTGCAGAGTTTTCTTAAAGGCCACAGGGAGGGAAACAATGTTTCAAGCTTCTGGAAAGACAATGAGTGCTACCGGGTGTGTGAGCTGAAGCCTCTCTCCAGCTGCTTTGCAAACCAAATCCTCTGCAACCAGTCTGTGTGAAAAAATCACTCCCATGAATTACTCCTAAGATGGAAACAGAGAAAGTCAGGCTCCCTGAGACCATTAGTAAGCTCCTATCAACCATCTTTAAATGCCCATGAATTGCAGGACTTCCTACACACCATCCAATTTCTATAACAAGAATAAAAGAGAAGTAACAGGGGGAGGAGGGGAACAGGAAGAAGAGAACAACAAGGACCAGGATGTGGGCAAGAACAACCAGCAGGGGTTCTGTTCCTTTTTCCCTCTGATCCTGGTTGTATGTTGTGTTTGCTGTGCTCTGTTTTAGCCCTACTTCTGCTCAATAACCCAATGTTGGCACTTCCGTCACCAGCATCAGGGGCCACAGTAATACTAATGCCTAGGGAGCAAATTTTAGAATTCATATTGTTGCATAGGAGCTAGTTCTGGTGTTTATTAAACATCTAGAAAGTGTTGAAAAGAGTATGCCAATATTTCTTTACTATCTCTGCAATCTAAACCTTGAACCAAATCCAAAAGGTATTTTTAGTGACATGCTGACAAGATAAAAGAGAAACCCTGACTGAAGAAACGCTCCGTACTTCCTTTGGGTTACATGCAGTTAGGAGCTGTGAGCATCAATTTTCTACCTATCATTATAATTATGGAAACCCTTCAAATGCAGCAACTTATTAGAAGACAATCGCACTAATAAACAGATGCAGGGGGAGAGCTGATACATATCTATTTGCCATCTATGTTTGATCTAATTTGCATAATTATAATTAGAATTAAGTTATTTCCCTTCATGAGATCTTTTTCTTTGATTTTTAATATATTCTGATAATTACCTCATCTATGCTAGATAAAAGACATCGGAAATGGCAGCTGCCCGCTTTTGCCTCCTTCACGGTTATCCCATATTCATGAGCACCCACAACTTGCCGTTCCTAGCGGCATTGCAATGCTACCTACCTCAGGCAAACAGCTACAGATATGGGACTCTGTTCCAAAGCAGAGATGTTACTCGGTTCTTCTCACCTGCCATCCCCACATTCATTCCCCAAATAAAACACTGCCATCTCAGGGTAGGGCCCCTCTATGTGCAGGACCAAGAGTAACTTCACGTTTAAAAAGAGAAAAGGCTTTCACTATGAAATGACAGAAACTAATAAAAAAAAGACCTTGTTTCAGAATCCCAAAAGAAAATCCAAGCTCTGAGGAGGGGCTATATAAGAGTCAATTAGTTGTTCGCTTAATTTAATATTATTTGCCTCCAAAACTAGGTCTCAAAATAATACAATTTTTCTATTAAGATTTCTTTAAGCGATTCTAGTACATCAAATTCAAACTGTGTTTCAAATGGAGATTAAAGGTCGGCTGTCACCTCAATTTGTGCTGCCAAACTTGCTTTCTCCTGGTCTTTCCGTTCCATGCACCGCTTCACTTCCTCTAACTCAGAAGCCATGGAGCTGAAGTTCAGTTGCACTCGCAGATCTGCCATCTGCTTCTCCAGATTCTGTTTCTCCCGCTCTACTCCTTAAGAGGCAAATGTAAAGCTCCATGGTTACTCTCTTGTCACGGGAAAATGTACTTTGTAACAGTTATCATTAAGCCTTTGTGTCTAATGCCCTAGCTCACATCATCCACTCAGCAGGTTGCGGATCTCTGCCGTCTGTCATGGCAAGCCTCATGGTTCTGACACATTTGTGAGCACCACTCAGTACCACTCCTCAGCCTTCAGCAAAATCAAGTACATGTCAAGTTGTACATAGTTTTCAAATTTACATAAGCAGCTACGCCATGCTATTTTATGTCATAGTAATATTTTCAGTGTTTCCTGATTTCAGTTACAATTTATTTCAGGACACTTTTTAAAACAAAAGCACTAAAGTCAACAAGACTACAATATACTGATGCTACAGAAACTTACACAGTGAAATGTTGTTCTTACATAGAAACAACACTTAGTCTTCTCAGTAAGATGGACTACTCTCCCTAGTCACTAATACTTAAGGTTATACCTGAAATTATAACACTGAATAATACACATTTATTATTTAATTCAACACAAATTGCTTGGTCAGTGAAACAAAGAACATTTTATTATGTTCTTCACATATGAAGATGGGTAACCTAAAAATCCATTGTCAATAAGCTTGCATTACAAGAATGGAAAAACACACAAAATGCTTCCTTTACTCTAAAACATTAGGAATTAGAATATATACTAACAATTTACCACTACCACTTTCCAATAATTTTCTTTCTAGAAAAGGAATAAAGTAAATATGATGAAATCAGCTTTGTAAACAGTTTATAAACATATTCCACCTTAAGAAATAGTAAGTGCTCAGAACTTCACAATGAAAGAGAAGACGCATCATATCGGCTCTTCAATAGCATAAGAACAGCCTGACAAACGACAATCAGAAGGACACAGTGAACTAAGGAATGGGGAACTAAGCTGTACTTACACAATAGATTCAAATTCCACTAGGCTGAAAGAAATGGTATTGGAGTGTTACCCTGGATAACAAAAAAAGCATGAAGTGCCAGCTACAAAACAGGGTTCAGTATTCAGGAAGGTATTGGCATGAAGCATACCCAATAAGCAACAAATACAAGAGAGGAAGAGACAGAGGTAGCAAGGAGCTCATCCAAGGTCTTCAGGGACTTGGACCTTCACATTTATCCTAAAGACTGTATCACACACTTCTCATGATGCATACACTGTGGCTACCTACTACCAAATGCGTATTGTATAAAATGTACAGGACAAATGTATATATATATTACACACTCATAAAATATTTATATATTTGGAATGTATCACATACAGAAGGTAGTAACATTTTTAATCAAAATACTAAGGTAGATAGACATTATACATACACGTATGTCATATACAATAAAATGTTTTACAAGATTAGAGTATTTAAAACATTAACAATAAAAGAAAAGAAAAATGATGCTCTCTTCGCACCCCAGAGGACTGTTATATACATGCTGTCTGGGAGGATGTGCACATCATTACGGGACAGCTAACTACAAGCTCAAGTTTGTGGAAGACTTCTGTTAAAACTTGCAAAGTGAGTAGTTCCTAAGAGTCCACTCTGCTGGGTGGTTAGTGTCGTGATGTGGGACTGTGTCAGTTATTACGGCTTTGTTGTACGTGCTTTGCTAGCTGCCTCTCACAGATGTGCATTCTCCTTCATTCGTGTTCATTCTCCTTCACCCTCTGCCTCCTCCTCTCTCTCTCTCTCTCTCTCTTTCTCTCTCTCTCTCTCTCTCTCCCTTTCTCTCTCTCTCTCTCTCTCTCTCTCTCTCTCTCTCTCTCTTTCTCCTCTAGCCCCCACTGGACTTGAGGACTTGCGCTTGCCTTCTCATTCTCTGCAGTCTTCTCTTACAATGCAATGTCATCATGGTGTTTTTATTCAGCAAAGCTGCTGCCACCTGCAGCCCCTGCATCTGAACTTCCCGGCTGCCCAATCTGGGAGAAATACATTTATTTTCTTTAATCACTGAAGTGAACAGTGAACTTTTTCCCTAGAATAGTTCCATGAATAAGGGAGATAACGTGCAGGGAGTAACATAATACCCTTTACATGATAAGAATTCAATGTACTGTAGAAGACAGGTTTCGTGAGGATAATAAAACGAACAGCTCTTGTCTTAGAAGGGTGTGCAGCAGTGTAGGAGAGAGGGTGTAGGAGTCAGAACACAGAAAGGCAAGTTACAATGAAAGGAAGAGTGAGCTGACACATGTCAAAGCTGGGGCAGTAAAACAAGAAAAAAGAGGTGACAGATTTGAGAGCTATCAGAAGTCACGTAGTGACACAAGCCTGTAATCCCAAGAGCCAGAGAATACAGCAAATGATCCCAGCTGCAAGGCCTAGATCATGGAGAGTATGATCTTCTCTCACATCGGGAAGGGAAATGAGAGACAGGGAAAGACACCTAGCAGACTAGAGGTAGAAACCAATTAATGAGTGGAGAGAAGAAATAATTTCACATGTTACTTTGTAGTTTAGGCTGAAGTATCGGGAATGAAACCATCAATCAAGAAAGGAAGGAGAAAAAGGTCTGTTTTTGCTTTTTACTTAGAAAATACTTCATTTCAGCAAGAACTTATTTATACAATACCATGTACAAAAAAAATTAAATTAATATTTCCAGACCATTATGGCTGACAATTTCTGCACAAAGCCAACTTGACAATGTAAATTGGGATACTTCCTCCCCAAGCTGACAACATTTTCCAAAACTGAAATATTTTTGTTACATGAAAATATATATATGTATGTATATATATCACTGTAATATCAATATGTTATCTGTCAGACAGCAGCAACAGCTTTTACAGGTTTTTTTAGCCATTGAGACAAAATTATTGAGAATTCCAGCAAGACAAAAAAAATGAAAAAGAACAAATGCAAAGCCCCAGAAAATAGCCAACTTCTCTTTCTCTCTTCTTTCTCTAGTGGCTCCCTGACACTGCCCCGTTTTGTTAGCTTCTCAAGCATCGCCTAGAGGTAAAGCACTCTAGAACAGCATCATTAAAACAAGCTCTGGATACAGCATGATCAATACTATGTCACAAGACAGGAACAAGACACTTCACATCACAGAGATTTGGAAATTGATGTCATATATCTACATAATACTGGAGGAAATAATTCCAAAGGCATTAGAAAACCGTGCTTTGAGGAGAGGATGATACAGTTCTAAATCTGCTGACTGCACATTCTGTAGATGAACACATGTGAAAAACCAACAAGCAACTCCACCTGATCTGCTCAAGTCAGGAGACTGAGTAGGAGCAGACCCAGGGGTGGATCTCAGCAGATGAGACCTAAAGCGTAGGATTAAAGAGCTCCTCAGGAGACATACTGAATATGAAAAGCTGTTAACAGAACACTAGGCAAAATCAACCTTGGAACACTGAGCATGAACAGAGGCAAAGCTAAGGCAGAAGAAGAGGAAGGTTCAGAGGCAAGAACATCAATGGACGACCCTAAAGAACCAGAAACGGTCAAATGGAGAAACAATGATGCCTCTGCATTTGACTATGATCAGTATAAAACCAAGCTGAGACTGGATTCCAGCCTCCAATCTCCAGATAACAAGATCCTAATATTAACTATTCATATATTAAAAATTAGGGGGAAAAAGAGAGTGATAAAAATAAGGGTACATTTACATCTTAATTCCAAAGACACACAGGTAAGGAGAAGAGTAGAAAAATTACAACTTCGTCACAACCTTTGGATGGTCTTTCTTAGATAACACCCAGGAGACAAGCAGGTCTGACAATAGAAATGGGAAACTGGGAAGAGACAATGGAATGTGTCTTCAAGCAGAAATTTGAAAAGACAAATTAAGCATGACCTGAGGAGTGCACCTCTAGGGAGAGGAAGCCACACCCAGCATCCAGATTATACCTCTTCTAAACCTCCGGTCATCTCCTTGATCATCCTGGTGGCTTGACGTTTGCTTGGAAATGCAAGATACTTGATGCTGCAAACCCCTCTGGTCACCTTCTGCTTTGATAAGTTGTGTACGCAACTCTTCCACCTAATAGCAAGTCAAAAATAATATTGCTATCAACTTTCAAAACAGGAAATAAGTAAACTCACAGATTACTATAAACTGTGTCCTGGGAAACAGTCACTTCTACGGGCTACTGTAGTATAATAAAGCCAACTTAATGCCCAGGTGGTCCCACACAGATCAGGCTTACATCCATGTTTTTTCATTCTTCCATGCCTTTCTCAAGGAATGTCTTTTCCTTTTCTGTGTCCACAGTGACAAACAACTGCAAGGCCTCTTAGTTTTCTCTTTCTAGTTCTGAGAATTTAACCCAGAAACTTTTTGAGGGAGGCAAGAGTGGCACCAGTGAGTATCATCTTAATGGTGATGCTTTGGATAAGACAGGCTCACAGACTTGAAGGCTTAGGGAGTGGCATTAGGAGGTGGTCTTGTCTTGTTAGAGGAAGTTGTCATTAGAGTGGGCTTTGGGGCTTAAAATGCTCAAGCCAGCCCCAGAGTCTCTTCCTTCCTGTTGCCCTGTGATCCATACCCAGAGCTCTCAGCTATTTCTCTAGCACCATGTCTGCTGCATGCTACCATGCTTTCTACCATGACAATGGACTAAACTTCTAGAAAACATAAGCAATAGCCAATTAAATGTTTTCCTTTATAAGACTTGCCATGGTCATGGTGTCTCTTCACAGAAGCAGAACACTAAGACACTAATCTAACTACATTTGAGTTCTTTTGAATTGTTTTGGGTTTTTTTTTTTTTTTCAGAAAGGCTTTTCTTACAAATCCCAGGTTAGCTTCTTCCAGTAATCCTTCCTGATTCGGCCTCCTGAGTCCTGGGATTGCCGGCCTGTGCTAGCTCGTCTACTCAAACGCATCTGGATTTGAGCTCCCTTCACTCATTACTACTCTTCACCTCTAGTCTATTTCCTTATCTTCACCTGTTTTCTGACATGGAAATATGCTATGCTGGTGATTAGATTCAAAATAAGGAATTATGATTCAGTATTTTATGATATCAAAATAGACTTCAGAAAAGCAGTAGACCACGGAATTGTAAGCTTCTGAAGCCATGGGCTGGATTATTCATTTTCACGTATATACAATGCGTCCCTACCAAATATAATCAAGTTAGCAATGGAAAAACAAAGTCACAATGACAACCTGCACCAAAAACTGACATTAACAATTACAAACTGGCACTTAAAAATGTAAAGGATCAGCATGGAATTAAATACCAACATCCACAAAACAAATTGTGAATTCTGCCAACATTAGTACCTCATGACCACTGACTGAAGAACAAAGTTAATAAATGTGTTTAAAGGCTCTGCAAAGCAGGTGCCTTTCCAGTACCACTGTGAGCATGTTCATAGAGACCTCTGAACATGTATGACAGCAGGCACCCTGACCTGCAGAGCATGTCATGTAGCTGAGATATGAAATCTCATTGCCCAACAGAAGGAGGCACATTCTGATTTAGTGAGCACAGGGGGAGAGGCAGTTAAAAACATATCCACCCTTATCCAGTGCACATAAGATGACCATTTAAAGTTACTCAACTTGAGATATCACACACTCCCAACTGCTACTAGGGTTAATGGGCTACAAAGCACTATGCCTAAAATGTAAGCCTCATCTTTGGCTAAAAGGAGCCAGGCAGCATCCTGACAACAAGAGCAAAGGCAGTGATGTATTCAAAGTAACCTAAACTTGAAAAGGTCTGTTCAATCTATTTTCTCCTTCCTCCTTATTCTCCAGTGCCTCCTTGAACAGAATTAAGCTCCCAGGAAGTTTTATCTTACACATCCAGTGTACTCGTACACTGTTCTGCTGAGAGAGATAAGTAGAAAGTCAGAGCACCAGTCAGCAAAACACATTGTCACAGTGGGAACTGGGTCTGGCTTGTCTGCAAGCTCTCTGAATCTTCATATCTGCATTCTGCGCTAACATACATGCCCTAAGGAGAAAACGTCTAGAACAAGACTCAATCCACATTTAATGAAACAGCAGACTGTCTTAGGTTGATAGACTCACCTGATGCAAAAGCGTTTCTCTACTGCCTTCAGATTGACTCAGCAGCCTCCTCGAGATCACCAATTCCTGCTCCAGCTGGAGGTTAAACAAGATAAAAACATGTAAAATGAGGCATAAAATAACTGTGCCCAATGGACAAAATATGCCCAGTGGGTCACAACTTAAAAGAAATGGAAAAATAGCTTCCAGGAGATATTCACAATGAGTGTGATGGCATTTCACCATGAATACACATTTAACTTCCATTAAAATAATGTCAATTACCTAATATAAAGGGGGTTGTGTGAAGCCTCCTAGATGTCTGAGACCTAATCTGTTTCATCTCAGCTATGACCTCAGACTCCCACCTCCCAAGCCTTAATTCATCTCTAAAATAGTCATTTCTATTAGTCTCCTGAGATTCTCCATCCAGTTCACAATAATGTTAAAAAAACTCTAAAACAATGTTTTCTTGGACAAGTATGGTCAACTTTACTAAATTAGAACAAAACCCACAGCAATCTAATAATTCAAACTACAGTTTATCTAGCATGACTTCTTACATTCCTGATACTCAAATGTGTTCTGACATTTTTTAAATTTCTAAATTCAAAAAAGACATTTAAAATTTCATTAATAAAATACCTGTGAAAAATACAGTTTGCTGAGCAAATATCCTAAAAATTCAGAGTATACTTACTTACTTCCAGGTAAAGAATTCAATAAAATAGGACATAATTTTTTTTGAGCTTTTCTATGCTATATGTTGACATTTTAAAACATAAGGGAATTTAAATAATCATCCCGCTAAAACAAACTACCACGTTTTACCAACTGTATGAACAGTGGGTATGCATGGCAAGGGTCTGGAGGAGCCTCAGGACACAGGCAGTAGGCATTTACAGAAGATCAAGACAGCTAAACGTATTCACATGCACACAAAACTAGGAAGAGCTGTAGAACCACTGTGGCTTAGACTACTGTCAATTTCCTGAGTTGATATTCAATGGCAATTACATAGAAAGTATTACCATTGAAAGAAATTAAGACAAAAGTACAAAAGACCTCTCTATACATGTTGTTTTGAAACATCGTATGAATCTATAATTATTTCTCTATGGACTGTGTTCTATGTGTGTGCATACACATAAGTGTGGGTATATGTGTTTGTAGCCTTGTAAACGTGCGTGTTAATATCAAAGGTCAACATCATATATCTACCTCAATCACCACCTTGATTTTTGAGACAAGTTCTCTCACTGAACCTAGAACTCTCCATTCAGCTTGAATGGTTGGCCAACCCACCTGTAAGATCCCCCTGCCTCTACATCTCTAACACTGGATTACTGGAGTAAACTGTCATGCTATGCTTTTATTTAGATGCTACAGATATGAGTTTGGGCCCTTGTTTTTCTGTGGTAAACTCTTTACTGACCCACCTCTCCAGTCACCATAATAAGCATTTATCTATTTACATGATAGTTCTTAAATGTTTACACGTAGCTAGTAAAAAAGATATATAAAAACAAAGAAGATGTGGTACTACCAAAGTATGAAAAACATTATTATTGTTCTCTTGAATCTATGATGAAATAGAACAAGAAAAAAAAATCACCTTTCAGCGGAAATAGCTTTGAAGTCAAACAAGCTACTATTGGCCATAAACTTAACTCTAACATCAACAGCTGCAACACTCAAGGGGCAAATTCAATGAACTAACATACCCTGCCTCACACAAAGGTGATGCGGTGATGCGGTGATGCGGAAGCAAGAATAAAGACTACAGAGAATGGTGAGAGCTTTCAGGAGGTGAGCCTAGAAAGGGGATACGAAGCTAACAGCGGAAATTTTCTTCCAACTTTCCTTATCATGGGTTTAACCTTAAAAGTACTAAATTACTTGGCCTCTGAATTGCCTTTTAAAGCTAAGGTAGTGGGTTCAGGGTATCTATCACATAAATATGACATCTATCAAAGGTCCTTAGCATCTAATGAGAATGTGGGGTATGGTAGTTTGAATAAGAATGGCTCCCTTAAGCTCATATATTTGAATACATAGTCACCAGGGAATGGAACTGTTTGAAAGGATTAGAAGGATTAGGAGGTGTGGCCTTGTTGGAATAGGCACAGCCTTGCTGGAAGAAGTGTGTCATTGGGGATGGACTTTTGAGAATTCAAAAGCCCATGCTAAAGTCACTCTCTGCCTACAGATCAGGATGTAGAACTCGCTACAGCTACAGCTACAGCTACAGCTACAGCTACAGCTACAGCTACAGCTACAGCTACAGCTACAGCTACAGCTACAGCTACAGCTACAGCTACAGCTACAGCAGCTACAGCTACAGCTACAGCTACAGCTACAGCTACAGCTTCAGCAGCTATAGCTACAGCTACAGCTACAGCTACAGCTACAGCACCTACGTGCATGCTGCCATGCACTCTGCCAGGATGATAATAGACTAAATATCTAAAACTATAAATAAGTCCCTTATAAAATGCTTTCTTTTATAACAGCTGCCATGGTCATTGTGTCTCTTCACAGCCATAGAACAGTGACAGAGACAGAGGGCATTTTCAAACCTGGCCTGCTAATCACACCTATTTACTATAAAGAAAATGAATACATACAAAATGTCTAGTGATCACACAGTAGATCTTTCCTAATTAACTTGCAAAAGTTAAGTTTTTTTTTCAGTGTTCTCCACCAAGAAAATAGAAATATCCACTTCTCATAAAGGAGAGAGGCCCAAGATGATGTGGGAACTAATGACCTGAGTGTGCTATCAAGAGTGAAGGAAGGATCATAAGCCACTGCCCTTCACGGCATGAAGGTGCCACTGTGTTCCAGTAAGTGACCTCAGGAACACCTTCACAGTGCTCAACAAGTACCTAAGACCACCAACCAGCATTCTGACCAAAGGGTAACTCTCAAGGTCTTACTTGGTTCTTCTCGGTTTCAGTTTGTCGCAGCTTGTTTTTGATGATGTCCTCATTGTCGTCTGCTTTAGCTTCTTGTTTCTTCAGTGCCTACAGTGAAAGCGAACGAGCACAGTGTATGATTCCAGGATGTGTACACAGCTCAAAGCTACCACTAGGCTGCACTGAGGAAGGGCCCAGGAAAATACTGAGCTGCATGAAATCTGCAAAGAAATTCAAGCCTGTTCATTCATAGACGCCCTAGCAACACTTCAGCGAGGATCAAATACAAACAACTCCCTGATCTTTCAAAGATCATGTCCACTAGTTTCATCTTCTGTCTTTATCTTTGGAAATCTTACTACATAGAAAAGTTAAGAGTGCTAACAATTGTTTTGGAAACAAAGTTTCCTGCACATCAAAGTAATTGTATTGAAGGTTATTTTAGTGTTCAGTTTCTAGGAAGCGACACCACCACCAAGGTGTCTTTTACAAAAGGAAGTGTTTAACTGGGGCTTGCTTATAGTTCCAGAGCTATAGTTCATTATCATAATGGCAGGGAACATGGTGGTACATATGGTGCTAGACATGTGGCTGAGACATACAGCCTGACAGAGAGACAGAGATAAGGACTGGGACACGGACAGAAACAGAGACTGGACTGGCTTGGGCGGTTGAAAGCTCAAAGCCTACCTCTAGTGGCACACTTGCTCCAACAAGGCCACACAACTTAATTCTTCTAATCCTTTCAAACAGCTACCCTCCTTCATGACTAAGTTTTCAAACATATGAGCCTATGGGAGCCATTGTTATCGAAACCACCACAGAGGGTTACGAGACCTGCTGGATTTGGACTAATACCATGAACTAGTCACTAGTTTCTTAGGTTCTAAAAGCACACTATCCATGACCGTAAAAACATGCCCATTGCATCACCATTATGTAGATGATATTTGCACAAAACATGCCAGACCATCAAAATTCTCCTCTACCTGCAGAAATATACAGTCATATCTAGTTGCCACTCTTTAATTATAAAAGAAGCTTAAAGAAAATTCTTTCAAAAGCTAACCACAAAAATATTAGCTAGGGTTTGTTTCTATTTCAAAAGGAAATCTAAACAAGAGGAAAGAACTTAAAACAGACTTTCATAGTATCTAAATGGCATTCTGTACAAATAAAAGTATTTGACCATTTAACAGTTACCTTCAGCAAGGTATCTGTAACAGCCATACAAATGAAGGAAATGCAAACTACCTAAAGCCTTCTCCAATGAAGCAACAGGTAATAAGTAAATATGGTAAAAATTGACTTTGATGTAAACACGCTATCATCATCCATTTCATTAACCTACATATTCAAATACATTTTAAATATACATCTTGTGTGTCAAGCACTGTTTTAGAAGGTACTAGTGTACACAGGCATAAAATACATATTATACCTTGGTTTTGTCTCCTCCCTCTCTCTCTCTCTCTCTCTCTCTCTCTCTCTCTCTCTCTTTCTCTTCCTCTCACTGTATGAGTGCATGTGTATGTGTGTATGAGAGACAAAGAAAAATAATATAAAGTTGTTGAAACCTTTAAAATAACTTTTATTTAGAAGCAAAACAGTAAGTGAATATCTATACACATTTATTTTGATTATATCACCCCCCTTTAATTTCATCTCTTCCTTATTCCTTCCATATTCTTTTTCAACATTGCTCCCACAAAATTCTGAGTCATCTTATTCCACAACACCTCCATCCTAACTTGGATTAAACATTTTTTATTGTTGTGAATACTTCTTCAATGGATTAAAAATCTGATTGGATGTTTGCAGAAGGGATGATTAGGGAAAGACTTCTTCAGGTAATTAACAACTTTCATTCAACTAGAAACAACCTCCACTTCTAGACTCAAAGTCCTGAGTAGAAAGTGTTCCACATGCGCCTATGGTGAAGGCTGGTCCAAGCCAGGTACAGTCATTGGAAGCCATAACATGAACAAAAGGAACAAACAACTCCTAATAGACAAGACTGTCCCAGACACCGGAACCATTCCTTTGCATCACTGAATTCAAAGTCAAACTAAAAAGTTACCGTAACTCTAAGGAGAAGCGTAGATGAAGGGACCCTCTAACACTGCTCAACACCTTGTGGCCTCTGCTTACAGACGAAAGCAAAAATCAGCAGCAGCCGAGCTGCACGCACTTGACCTAACCTCATGCTTCAACTCTGAGTTTAATTTACGCAAAAACATAAACTCCAAAAATTCCCCAGTGAAGAAATTTTCCAGTTTACCATCTGGAATTTATCCATTTCTTCCTCTTTCCATGATTTCCAAAAAATTAAATTTGAAAAACTGTAACATTTAAGACTAGAAAAACAAGAAAGATATGCTAACATTTTCCAAATGTTTGCTTACTTTAGTGTTTAATCAAACACAGTAAAAATACATACATATATATGTATGTATGTATGTATTTACATATATACACTTATTTAGAAGTATTTAAAATAATCATACAAGATTTTATTTATTTCAAAACAATTCTCATTTATCAAGGGGCTACATTTCTGAAAAGTAACAGAGAAGCATTCAGTTTATTAGAGTGAACTCTGAGAAGACAGAGACCTTGTCTGTATTTTGTAGACAGTACTTGGCACATATTAGATATCAAAGCATGCCATTGGCTACAAAAACAAATATTCCTTTATAATTTCTGACATCACTTTTCTCAGCTAGGTCTTTTACATACCAGAGCCTTTCCAAATTTCCCCCCACCTTTGATTTGTTTTATTTTTAATTGTGTGTATTTGTTTGTATCTCTGTATAGGTATGTGCGGGTACCAACAGAGACCAGAAGAGGACATCAAATCTCACAGAGTATAGAAGCCATGTGGGCACTTTGGCTCACAGATTGGGAAATCAGGAATGTCAAACACACAAGACAAACTACTGTCTCTTCAAAGAGAGAAATGTATAACCCATTTTCTGCCCAAAAGGCTGGGAATGGATGTATTTAATAGTCAGGTGACCCCTCTGCATTATCTGTATGGTCAGGCCACGCTGGTTCCCCAGGACCCTTACCTTGAGCCAGTCTATACATCCCTTAGACCTTATCATATACATTGTTCACCATGAGCAACTTCCTTAGTTAATCTATAGAATCTATCGTTATGGACAATGCCTCTTGTACGTAATTTATAAGAGGTTCACGTCTTATAATTTGTTATGAAGACAGGATTCAGTTATCACCAGGAAATCTTTTTTTTTTTTCCCAAATTGTACTGTGCTTAAATGTGCCTAAAATAAACCACCCAGTGTCAGACCTTGAAGTTTGAACCAACACAGGCCTCTGAGTCATACTGAACCAGACTTCCTTCTTGCCCCACATGGATAAACATTCTGCTGGCATTGTGCTTGCAGAGACCCCTATAATAGCGCTGGGGTTACAGGTGAGAATGAGCCATGTGACATGAGTGCTGGGAACCCAACACTGTTCTTCATAACTGCACTCTATCTCCAGCCTTCCCTCCTACCTTTCTTAATCACTAATCCTCCCTTGCACCAAGTTACCCATCTTGAGAAAGTTTGAACACTAGAGTGATGATGCAAACTGAATTTACTTTTATGTTTAGGTCAAAGAGGTGATAAACATTCTCCAGTTGTAAGAAATCATTTTTATCTTTTATTTAGCTAAAGGAAAGAACTTATTAATTGGTTTTAATTTTCTGTTTTGTTTTGTTTTGTGTTTGAAACAGGGTCTCCCTAGGGAGCCTTCGCTGTCTTGGAATCCTCAATGTCAATGTCAACCAGGCTGGCCTTGAACTCAGATATCTTTCAGCCTCTGCCTCCAGAGTACTAGGACTGAAGACAGCTATCATCATGCCAGATCCTTAATTGGTTTAAAATATTTTCCTTTAAAATACTGTTAACTTTACAGAAGAGTTGCAAAGATAGCTCAGAGATTTTGCACAGTCTTCAAAAACTTTTCTCTTAAACTGACATGTAACATATTGTGTTATCTTTACCAAAATTGAGATAACCACATCGTATTAGGCTAGAGAGTCTATTTCCACCAGATGTATTTTTTGTTCCAACTACTGATCTATACTATACTGCATTCATCTGACTTCTTTTCCATAGTCTCATATAACCAGTTAGTTTCTGGGTTTCCCTTATCATTTAAGATATCAGCATTTCTACAGTGGTCAAGTATGGATTTGGCAAGGTGTGGGGAAAGGGATGGACACTACAGTTCAAGTGCCTTCTCACTAGCCTCAGATGCCAGAGCAAGGTAAGGTCATGTTTTCATAGAGTAATTTAGTTCCCCTCTAAGACAGTCTCCAGTCACACCCACCTTATCATACAATGGGTTTAAGTGAGTAAAACGAATCCTTACAGCTATACTTGGGACTATTTTGAGGCTACACAAATATAAAGTTTCAAGGAATTTTAGCTCAAATCCAAATCCATAGAACACTATAGCAGTTATTTAGGTCTTTTTTTAACAACCCCAAAATCTCCCCATCAGAACATACAGTCTAACACCATCCAGATACCTAGTAAGTTTACTCATAGGCTGTCCTCACTAGGTAATAAAATCCTGACTGTCTTTACAAACCCCAAAAGGCATACTCATATCAAAATTATTAAGGAGTGATCTAGAATTATGTCCAACTATATAAGTAGATAGAATGCACTCATCAAATCTCTACCAAACATGCTGTTTTCTGACTTCCCTAGGGTATTCCAGTCACCTTGTCTCTTCCATTATATCTTGTCAAGTATGAGTTGGTCTCTCTGTGGCTTGTGACACTACACAACCTTCTAAATACTACCTGACTTGTTTAGAGCAATCTGTTTCCATCCCAGTGATATATTCTGAGCATATAAACTCATAACCATTTCTAACACCTGGATGCCTCCATCTTGTAAAAGAAAGAATATCATTTAACAGGTAATATTCGGGAAACAGTCATCTTCATCCTCACACAAATGGATATCCACTTTTCATGTCTTGTAATCAATGTAAGTACTTATTATTCTCATTGGTATTAGATAAAACTCAATAAACTTAACTTAAATCAAGTTATGAAACTAAAACTATCTTTTAAATTCAAA